TTTTTTGCACATCTATTTGGGTTCTCTTTGGCTGCTGCTACTGCTTAATCTAACTCCTCCAAAATTGCTTCCAGTGCTGGATCCGTCTTCATTCATACTTCGAGTTGTAATGTTTGTTTTTTGGAGCATTTATTTTCCCAGTACCTACTACCACATGTGCTCTCAACATCTGTCTTTGTTGAATTGTTACTCTTGTCACTGCACTGAATTGAACACTGTGACATATACTCTAATGAACTTGCTGACTCATTGTCAGACCACACTGACAAACTCAACTTCAGCATTCTGTGCTTCATGTTTGTGCTATGCTGCAACTTGCCCCCTCATGAAACTTGCAATTATTTTTATATGCACCTCACTCTTTGAGAAAGTTCTCGTGTCTCCTCACGCAGCCTTGGCCTTTGACAGTCTCTGGAGCAAGCTGGATGTGGAGTTTGAATCTTGATGTTTTGACTGAATGAGAGGTGCGCACAGGCCAGGCAACACAAACACATGCTGCTCAGCTCCCGTGACAGTATTTCATGAAATAAAACTAATTAATCATGTGCCTTGTTCAGCTTGGTATCTGTGATTAGTTTCACAACAATATTTACATTTACAGCAAGTGAACATCTTGTCCAATGAAGTACGCAAAATAACAAAAGAAACGCTTGTAAAATACATGCATGTGAGTACGCATTTTAGTTCTTGTTTGTTATACAGAAACAGTGTCCATGTTAGAAGGATGGTAATGCTGATGTGCTACCACAACACCTCTGGTGGTTTTATTGTCAGGAATATCTTTGTAATGTAATATTTTCAGGTCATAATGCATCAGTTGTGATTTCTGGTATTTCCAGATATATGATGATGTCATAGTGTGTGATGATGAGAGCGGTAGAGAAAAGACTTTCAACATCACCATAAAGTACGCATCTCAGGTTGATTTGCGATCTTTATCCAAGTACATGGCCGGTGGAACATCTCTTGCCAGTCCGCAAGAAGCAATTCAGGCTCTTGACATTGTACTGCGCAATGCTGCAGCCTTCAGGCAAGTTAATAAAGACTTTTAATTTGAAACTGATTTTACATTTATGTAGCATGATAGTGATACTGAAATAAAGCATTGCTGCAGGTTCACCCAGGTTGGACGCTCTTTTTTTACTCCTCCAAGGGATCAAATATTGGATCTAGGTGATGGCCTAGAACTGTGGTATGGATTTTTTCAAAGTGCCATCCTGGGATGGAAACCCTTCGTCAATATTGATGGTAAGTACGAGTATTTAAGTACATATGCAGAAGAAGCTGATCATTCCCCTCCAATGCCTATGTACAGAGTATGTATAACCCTACAACACTGTAGAATAGTGCACATGGGTCGTTTTAGCTTTAAAACCTTAATTATTCTGTATACAGAGATTTTCAGTCACTTTTATACAGTAAAATGTGTCTAAGATGGAACCTGAATTAAGCAGAAACTGTCCTTATCATAACAGTTATCTGGTCCAGAGAATATTACACCTGGTTTCTTTTAAATATCTCAGTCTGCATGATGAAATTGGTTACAACTGTGAATTAGCAAGTATAGAGTTTAGTGATCCATTTATATGCATAATTTCCAGTTTTCTAGGTTTAAGCTAGATTAATTTTGTTATGTATAACTAAATTATAAATTAGCTGTGCCCAGCCATGCCTTGCTGTGGCTCAGTCTGCCCGTTCTTCCCCAGTTTGATTTGAAATTACTCGACGCATTTGCTTCCGCTCCGCAAGTACGACGACCTAAACTTGTTCTTAGAAAATGAAAAGAAAAACAACGAAAAATAAAGTATACTTACGAAATAACTTCCACGCACATCTCAGATTCAGCGAATAAGTTATTGAACGCTCACTTTTACACCAGCGAGCACAATTATTATCACGTCCAGTATCACCGAAAATTTCTTCGGAGCTGGACTATTATAACCCGGTTTCAGACGCAATAGAGGGCACT